TGGTGTTTAAGTGATTCCTTAAGTGATTTTAAATGTAATTACACGAACAATAATACTTTAAGAGGTATTTTTTAAAAAAAATTTCCCATAAAACATGGTTATATTTTTCCATTTTGGGGGGATGGCTTCAGCCCGAAAGCCCCCTCCCCCCCCCGTAGATCCGCCCGTGGTATGGAAGAATGTTCTAATCTTTCGGGTGCGCTCGTATTCCTTTGCTTCCTCAATTATAACTATTCTCTGTTATTTCTCCTTTAGTTAGTTATCAAATTCTCTCATATTTTATGTTTAAATATTTTTTATATCAAATATTAATGTAAGATGGTCAATTATTTTAAATAAAAAAAAATTACTGGGTACTTTACTGGAAGCTAATATTGAAAATTAGCCATTTAAATTCTGTTCGAGAAACACCAGTCAGAAGAAAATCTACATTTCATTAAAAAGTGCTTAATTTTACACTTATATAATGATTAACCGAAAGATTGGCCGATTTTGACGCAAAAGTTGCTGTAACATCCCAAGCATATGATAAAAACCTTAAATATGCAATTTCACTTCCGTATGAGTTTTCGGTTTTGAACTAAACTGTTAACACACAGAAAGACCATTTCGCAGGACTTGGTTATTTCGACTCAGGGAACCTCAAAACATGTATTTCCGTTGAAAACTCAGATTCGAAAATTTTCACGATCTGAGTTTTCAAACGCAATACTTTTTATATGTAACGCAATACCTTAATATGTATTTCGTATATAGGTATGTGAAAGTAAAAATAGAGAGAAAAAATAAATAAAATAAACATAATTGGTAATTGGTTGACTGTCGTGGATAATGAGGAGAAGAATAGTTGGGGTGCTCAGTCAAAAAAGGAAGGCAGAAAATAAATTATAATATTTATTTTTTACTTTAATATTTATTTTTAATTGTAAAAAATAAATATTATAATTTATTTTTTGCCTTCCTTTTTTGACTGAGCACCCCAACTATTCTTCTCTTCAAATAAAATAAACTTTCTACAACTACATACAGTGGCTCACAAGCAAAATGATACACCTAGATATAGATAGAAATTATTTAATAAATAAATAGTTCAATTTATATTATATTAAAAACAATAATTTATCGTAATCAATAAACATCCTAGTAAAGAATTATTTTTCTTCTTATTTTATGTTTCATGGTAGTTGCAGGAAATCTTCACTTTATAGTGGAAATATTCACATGGTATTGTGAATAAACATGTTTACAGAGAAATTTTTAGAAGAAAATTGAGGAAAATTTGAGATAAAAAAAATCGTTTTTATCAGGATAATGACCCCAAACACTCTGCCATGTTAGTTAAGGAATCGCTACTTTATAACTGCTTCAAAGTTATAAAAACACCAGATCATAATGTGATAGAACACCGGGGAAAATTGGACTTGAAAATTAGAAAAAATAAAATTTCTCGTAAAGAAAACTTTAAGAAATATCTTCTCAAAGAATGGAACAGGCTAAACAAGGAATAACCAAAAAATTCTTCAACTCCATTAAAAACAGATTGAAAGAATAGGTAGAAAATAATGGCTTGCCTATAATGTGTTTAAAAGTATTTAAAAATTAATAAGAAGTGAGGTAAATCTTTTTGACAGAACATTTAAAACTGAATATTTTAATTTTATTCAGTTTGTACATATTTAAAATAAATATGTAATATGTAAAATAAATTGAAAATAAATAAATCTGTTGAAGAGTTTCTGGTTTTATTTATTTACAGTAACTATTGAAGTTTTTTTTCTAAGGAGTTTATCAATTTCACTGTAGAACTGCTGTATATTATACTGATTATGCTTATTTTTTGGCGATTTGCACACTTAAAAATCATAAATATGAAATTATTTTAAATTAAATTTTCTATGACAATCCTTTATTAAAAATATCATATTCTCTTGAAATTATCCAAATTAATTATGTCCTATATGATGAAATTACCACTAAAAAAAAAAAAATTGCTAGCCGAATTTTAATTCTAAATTCTCACAACTAAACGGCGTTACACATTTTCTCAAAAACGGCTCTAACGATTTTGATTAAACTCGGTCTTAAATTACATTTAACATAGTATCCCTATCCCCATTGATGTCGCTTAACAGCGCTTAAATGTCTAATGTTCAAAATTTCTTCCTCTAAAGTACCTTTAATTTGGTTTATTTTAAGTAATTAACAATCTCTCATTGTTACCAGTTATAAAATAAGATCAAATTGATATTAAAGACCACTTAATTATACAATGATACACCGAGTTCAATCAAAATCGTTAGAGCCGTTTTTGAGAAAATTGTGAAAATATGTTTCAGCGTTGATATAAAATAGCACTTCCGGTTAGACGATTTTAAGGAAAAAATTGCTATCCCATCTAAGGCATATACCTGTCTTAAATACGTAATATTAGTTTCGTAGGATTTTTCGTTTTCGAGCTAGTGTTCACATAAACACAGTCACACAGACCATTTTTCGGTACTTGGTTATTTGGATTCAGGGTACCTCAAAACGTGTATTTCCGTTGAAAACTCAGATTCAAAAATTTTCTCGATCGCAATACTTACCCTTACTATACATTACATATATACTTAAGTGAAAGTAAAAAGGATACATATAACTTTTGAATAAAGGAGAAAAAAAAAGGAAAAATGTGTATTTAGATCGAAAACAAATCTCCGAAAATAATAATCAGAAGTTATATGTATAATATATCGTTGTTAAGCTGAGAACTATAGAAAAAACAAAAATAATATCTAGTATAGAAAATCGTAAAAGGTAATAGAGAATGAAGAAAAAACTATAATAATAATAATTTCTGAAAACTGGTTAATAATAAATAGAATTTTTGTTATTTTAATTTCCTTAATGATTTGTTAGCTGTAAGTTTGAACACCGTTAAAAATATTTTGTAATAGTGAAAAATTGCCAAAAATTATTTTATATTCAAAGTAGAGCGGTAAATGAAAGTTGTGTAAGGCGCGCACCAGATTTGTTTTTATCCAGACTGATGATTTACATTATATATTTTTCTATATATTTAGTCTATCCTAGGCATTTAGAAAATTCAGTTCATGGTTTTCTTTGTTCAAAATTTTAAAGAAATAATTAAAGTTAAACGTTGATAATGTAAAGTAGGTAGGAATACCGGAGAGATTACTGCTGTGACCAGTCGGTCGAAGACCTACTTCGAAATCGAACTATAGAACGTACCACTGATCTTGACTCGTTATATTTATTATTATTTATTTTTTAATTCTAAGAGTTTTCAATATATTCTTACAGAATAATATCAGTAAAAAATTAAAAAAAAAGGAAAAAGTACAAACGCTGCTTATAATCGGATTCGATTTAGTCTAGTTATACGACTTCTACAGTAAGATGATGTTATCGATATCAGAGGCAATATTACAGTTAACACTTAAAAGTATAAAAAACAAGTTTACAGTATAAATTAAATATTTTTACTATAGATAATAATATTGTATAGATTTATTATTCGACTCTTAAGAGCGATTGATTTTGATGAATATCAAATGAAAGGTAATTTTAAAGTGATGAATCCAAATTTAAAAATTATTTCAAATAGCGTTTTAAAATACAAATGGAAATAAATTTTTTGTGAAATATAAAATAGTTTGTTTGTACCTGTATTTTCTTTTGTATTTTAAATACACAAAAAAAATATACGAAATAGAGTAGGTCCGCCTGTATTATATGCTGATCGTCCACCATAAAGTGTTTTGTATTAGTAATTAAAATAAAAAATACTTTTATTGTTTTGTATTTGAAATGTATTTTCTTAAAAAAAAAAAAATAATAATAGAATACTTCGTTGTTAAAATGCTCTATATATTTAACAACACAAAATACAAGGTAGTTTAAATACTGTTTTTTAAAATATTTTTTTCCAGGTCTGTAAAAACCTTGCTACAATTACAATAAAAATATTTTTTTTAAAAATTTAGAGGTTTTATAACTCGGATGTTTTCAAAAGAAAAAAAAAAATTAAGAGGTGTTTACAAAAATTATGATATTATTTTCGTTTGAAAATTTTATTATTTTTTTTATTTTGTTTTTTCGAAACCCTGAATTTACTATCTAGCAGAAATCATCGCAGAATTGGGATTGTTTTAGATATTTTACGAATTAAAAAAAAAAGGACAATTTAAGAACATTGAAAAAATATTATTTTTTTTTTTGCATTTTAAGAAGTGAAATATAAAATAGGCTGGTGGTAACTGTATTTTCTTTTGTATTTTAAATACACAAAATAAGTTACAAAATATAGTAGGTCCGCCTGTATTATATGCTGATCGTCCCCCAGAAAGTGTTTTGTAATAAAAAAAATAAAAAAATACTTTTATTGTTTTGTATTTGAAATACATTTTCTTAAAAAAAAAAAAAAAATCGAATACTTCGTAGTTAAAATGCTCTGTATATTTAAAACAGAATACATGGTATTTTGAATGATATATTTTAAAATATTAATTAAATTACGTTTTGCCCAGAAATTTTATAACTCGGATTTAAAAAAAAAAATAATAATAATAATTAAGAGGTGTTTACAAAAATTATACTATTTTTTTGTTTGAAAATTTTATTTATTTTATTTTTCGAAACCCTGAATTACTATCTATTAGAAATCATCGCAGAATTGGAATTGTTTTAGTTTCTTCACAAATGTACTATATCAAAGAACATTGGAAAAATAAATAACAAATAAATAAAATAAAATCATGATTTTTTTTTTTTGTTGTGAATATCTCGAAGAATATTGTCTCAAGATCTTTAGGACTCGCCTTCAAAGATTATGAAGGGTGACTGATAATAACAGTATAAAGACGACTGAGCATTGACAGGATGTAATTAATATATTAAAATGAGGCAGGACAAGTTGTTGACAAGACAAGATAACTTGTTGTTGTTGATCTGTGTAGAGAAATGTGAAAATAAAAAACAAGACAGACAGACAGACTCACCGACTTGATACTCTTCTCCTTGGCCGTTTCGGACATGATGCTTGGGGAACACTCGGGACACAACTGGCGGGTTGCAAGAGCCGGGGTTACGTCAATCGATAGTGGAGAACCACGTGGTAGCGCACCCCTCCATTCGGCTTCGGGGTGGTGCTGTGGTCAGCATCGTGTCATAACGTAAATCATATATATATATATAACTCAATCTCATATTGAAAAAATAAAAAAGGCAGAAGTCCGTGTCCAAATTTTGATTTGTAAATTTTATCATCGGTGCAGAATCCGACGGAACGAGAGGGGCGGGTTACTCCTTCCTCCCCAATAAAATGAAAAGGAGCCGAGAATCGTTTCCCTTTCCCCAATATTTCGGAAAAAAAAAAAAAATTAATAACAAGTAATCTAAATGTATTTTTTTTTTTTAATTTTGAGATCATTAACAAAAATACATCGTCGGATTATTGCAAAAAGACATAACTTTTCATAATTTAAACAACAAAAAACTTTAATAAATTTTCCCTTTGTAAAATCACAAAATTATATAACTTATTATAATAGGCCTGGAGCCCAAAAATCAACTTGATCGCAAGCGAAGGTTTGAATGTAAATTACGAAATCGTATTTTATTTTATGGGTGATAAATATTCAGGACGCAGTCTTTTCTAAAATTTTTTTTATTTTTGCCAACGTTTCAACCCAAACATGTGGGTCATCTTCAGGGCGTGGTTTGAGCACTGAGGTTGTTCATGTATCAGTACATGCTCAAACCACGCCCTGAAGATGAACCACATGTTTGGGTTGAAACGTTGGCAAAAATAAAAAAAAATTTAAAAACACTGCGTCCTGAATATTTATCACCCATGATATGTTGAACAGTCGATTAACTTCCTTCAAATATTTTATTTTAAGTGAAATGAACCTTGTCTGCCATTTAAAAGCCACTCCTTTCAAAAATGGCGATTGATTAAAAAGAATATTAGGCCAGTAACCTGAGGATCGAAGCGGGAAATCCACTGCGAAAAATTTTATTATTTTTTTAAACTTATATATATATATATATATATATATATATATATATATATATATATATATATATATGGGTTTAAACATGCATAAAACAAAATTTCTAACGCGGTCCACCAGGGAAAAACATTTAACAGCCAAAAAAGTCAGAGATATTTTCGTTTTTTTTTTTTTTTTTCTTATTTCATCTATAACTCCTAAATGATGCATCAAAGCGAAAAATGTAGATAGATAGAAATTTATTTGTTAGGGGGGGGGGGAGGGGTTCCCCATACAAATAGAGCCTAGCTTGGCTATTGTAGAATTGCCCAAATGCGAGACCGAAACGAGTCTTGGTCTTGCAAACTCGCTCTTGGTCTTGCACAAGAGTCTCGCAACAGCCTTGCAGTTACTTATTTGCTTTTTAATATAGAGAATTTACTGTAATTTTTTAGATAGGAGAAACTTAACTAAGCCCGAATGAAAAATTAGAGGAGTTAAATGCAAAAGTATATTGGTTATACCAATTATTTACATACAGTAACTAAGATTGTCGAATATTAGTTACTATTTTGGCTTAATTTTTATTTAAAAAATCGATTTTTTTACCAACCTGGTCTTGGTCTTGCAAAAGTGAGACGGCCTTGGTCTTGGTCTTGCAAAGTACAAGACCATGACCGACTTTGGGCAACACTATGTAGAATAATATGGTTTTACAAGTTATATACATATAATTTAAAAGTAAATAAAATTTACAATATTTTACGTGTAGAATGGGTTTTAAAAAACATGAATAACAATAGAAATTAAAAACAAAAAACGATTACTGCACAATAATAGTTATATGAACCTGTTACTATGGTAGAAACAATAAGAAATATTTATAAATATAAACAAGATATTACTTTTAAGATAAACTAAAAACAAACAACTTAATAGAACATGGGTTATGATCAACAATTTTGTGTATGCACTTTGTGTACTCCCATCATATAATAGTAAAGTTTATTTAATTTATCTATACTATCGATATTCAATATGGATTTGATGTTGTGGTTATCAGAAGATTCTGAGATGAAGTTTGAAGGAATTTTTGTCTATAGTCATTCTATGCTGGGCAATGAAGGAGAATGTGATGTAGACTGTTGTAGATAAATTGACTGCATGATATACAAGTTTCTTGAGACTCAATCGAAAAAGTTGTGTTTTTTGCATAGACTCTGATATGTTCTGGATTTGCAACTCTTAATTGACTAATACATCTCAATTTCTTTATATGAACTTTGAATGTAAGGTACGTCAAAGCGAAAAATGTATTCATTAATAAATTAAAGAAAGTTAAATTTTGCGTCAAACGAGTACATAAACTTTATAATTTGGTTACGTGGTAAGGTATAAAACCACGGTCAACCCACGCTGATTTTCACCAAGTTTGTCAAAAACTGAGGCATATTAAATGGCCCTGTAACTTGGAAATGAATTTTCCTAAGAGGAAAAACCCATAGATTCAAAGTTGTAGAGCATCAAATTTTTTGTCATTTTTATTATAGTCCAATTATGTATCTCTAATCGGGATCCGTTATTTCTTTATGAAATGCAGTATCTTTTGACACATCGTTTATCAAAATCCTTTATGCTGAGAGGTGGAAAAGAGGCTTATACTACATGTGATAGACTCTGAACCAAAATAACTCAGTAGAATAGACATCCTTACTGTTGAAATATTGAAAACCACTTATAACTCCATTACCAATTTCGATTACTGATTTGGATCGGGATTACTGATTTCATGCTCTACAACTTTGAACCTATGCGTTTTTCCTCTTAGGGAACTCATTTCCAAGTTACAGGGCCATTTATAGTAATTTGTCTCAGTTTTTGACAAATTTGGTAAAAATCAGGATTGGTTGATAGTGGGTTTATACTTTACCACGTAACTAAATTATAAAGTTTATGTACTCCTTTGAAGCATAATTTAACGTTATTTTATTTATTAAAGAATACATTTTTAGCGTTGTTTAGGAGTTATAGATAAAAATATCGAAAAAAAATCTGATTTTTTTTGGCTGTAAAAAGTTTTTCCTTGGTTGTCTGCGTTAGCAATTTTGGTTTTTACATGTCTAAACCCATATATACAAGTTTAAAAAAAATAAAAACTTTTTTCACATTTTTCAAAATTTCCCATTTCGATTCTCCTGATCCTATTATTATTAAGGCTCTACAGGGTTTTCCCGGGCCAGGGAGTGTTTTCGAATCAAAGTAGATACTTTTTTATATTATTATTTTTATTTTTTTTTGGTCTTCCCCTTCCTCGCTGTTAAGGCTATACGGGTTTTTCCAGGGCCAGGGAGTGTGGGCGGGGTTTTAAAAGACTCCCTCGGCACCGGGACGCGAACTCGTGACTATTTTTATATTATACTATTTTTTATCATTCGATTGATATATCAGGTTGCCGGGCAACGGCGGTGCTGTGCACACGCGTTAGCCCATTCGGCCACCCTGCCCACTTCGAAGTAGATATTTCGATTATCTCGATTATCGATGGTCATCCCTAGGTCAGCCTGAAATCCCCTACGTAGTTCCGCCTGTTGTTGTTTATTAATGTTTTGTAGTGGACCGCTGAGTTCGGTGATTGAGTTTACTCATATTGACCTTGATTTGAAATGATCAAGAGAGTCGTGATTTATTCAATGAACACAGCTGATTTACAATTACGCTGCCTCTGGTATTTCAGTAGAAGAGCAATGCATCATGGCCCCTATGACAGGGAGTTAGACGAAGAACATGTGAGACCGAACACGTACACTTCCGCAGGGTGAACAATCGGACCTCTATGATATATCATCGTTGTATGACTCGAAGAAAAATGAGTAGCCCTTGGTGACTGTTAGAGGAAAAAAAAGTACTGCGGGCGTAAAAAACCATCTACTCAACATAATGCAATATTGAATAAACTAACATTAATCAACTTATTTTTAATGAATAATCAATAAATCAATCATTATTTAAAAGATTTAATGAAATCTTAAAAAAGTAATTTTCTTTTTTTTATTATATTGCACAACAGTGTAAATAGTGAAGACCAGTTGTACTAGTTTATATGGTTACCTTAATTATATGAATGTCGTCCATAATTCTATTATAAACTATAACATAGCATTTATATATACATACATAAATACATTGGTGAGAAAAACTCTTCGAAAAAATGTGATAAATCATTCAATTTAAAAATTCAACGCTTTACTTCGCATTGTTACATCTCTGTCAGGTATAGGAACATTTCAAATCAAAAAGTATCAGCTGTAGGCAGGGGTACCCAGAAGGGGGTTTGCAAAATCAAAATTATTGAGGGGAGGCACTTTTTGACTGGGTTTTCAATTTTCGAGGGAGGCACATTTCGACGGGGTTGTAGATTTTCGAAATGAAAAGTTTCATGGATGATAAATAGTCATTATACAAATTTTTTTATTTGTGCCAACATTTCAACTCAAACATGTGGTTCATCTTCAGGGCTGAAAATTTTAAAATACAATCAGAGATATAACATTATACGACCGATAATGGTAAATAATAAACTATAGTGATTGATGGTATTTGAATCTTAACTATTATTACAATACATAATATTAAAAATGAAATATTTAAAAAGTTATACAAACTAAAAATAATATATATAATCTATTTATAAAAGTTTGTAATATTTTCTCTTACTAACCGTGGTTGGAGCACTGAAGGCTTTCAAGTACTGACAAATTTGGTAGGTATTGAAAAGTTCAGGGGGGAGGGAGGATTTCCCAGTTGTCCTTTTTCATATAGCAAAAGGTAAGTAAACATAGTCAAAGGGGGAGGGAGGTAACATTTCTGTTTGTAGAATCTAAATAATTTGCTGACTAAATATTTTAAATGGGTACAAGATTTGCGTTGTTTCTTATTGTTATAAAATTGTGAATATTGGCTAGATGAATGAAATGTACATAAGCAAGAGGTGCCAATCAATATAAATATAACATAGTTTGATCAGGTACCATTAATCACTATAGTTTATTATTTACCATT